CTCGTCACACCATGTATCAGTCATGGGGTGAGCGGCCTCAATCATATCTTTATCAAACACTTAGTGGCTCACTTATAAATATTCGATGTATTGCGCCTGAGACGCATTTATCGCTGAAATTATCTAATATTTTGCAGTCTTTTTGTGGTAATATAAGAGCCTAAGACTAGAGAAAGTAAACCATACCATGGGTGGGAATAGAACCCGCGGTCAGAGAGTCATGATTAGTGAAGGTACTGCAGTAGGTTCACTAGCGTATGCCGGACAAGTCTTAAAAGTAACAACTACTACAGCCAGCTTCCCCATTTACAAATCTGTCCAATTTATTTTCAAAGCCATTCCAGGGTGTTGTTTTACTGACGCTGGTGTTAAGCTCATCTTCTACTGTTGCCAAACCGGTGTTTTCCTATATCCTTTCTAAATTTAAATTGATCTATCTAAAATCTGTTACTACGAGTTCTACACTGGTTATATATTTTCATCACATGACTTACACGTATTCCGTTGTTTTCCACTTGTACACTACACCAGGTAAACACATATCCCCCTTTATTATACATCTTTCCAGAGTGTAAGTTCAGTGTCTTCAACCTATTTTCGTAGGTAAGGTTTCTTACACATGGGGTCAACTTCGTCATTCATCTCAATTTTCCATCGCATTTATGTCCGTTCTGTGATATGGAGACCATATTTGAACTGCATAATCTAAATGAGGCTTTTTTCAACGCTATATAATCACGAGGTATAACCTGAGGACTCCTCTTATTTAGAGTTCTTGATATAAAACTGTTATAGACACTTATGCACTCCTGTTCTAGGGTAAACTCTGGGAAGTATTTTTTTCTTATCGTAACTGCTTATAAGACTTCTCCCAAATTATTATTAATATGGTAAAGGAAACAAATAGCATTTTGAGAGGTTCTTAAGTGAGATGAACAGATACATGAGTTAGTTCTGTCTAGAATGAGCTATTTTTTTCTGTTATCTAAGAACTTGTAACTTTCACCCATATACAGAGTCGAAACGTGTAGTAGCGAGAGCCTAGCACGCCAAATTTCTCTTATATGTGGACGAGTTGTAAATCCATAGTGATCGTACAGTGTTTGAGGTATACTGGTCATACAGTGTCTGTGATAGTGGTCATACAGTGTCTGTGGGATAGTGGTCATACAGTGTCTGTGGGATAGTGGTCATACAGTGTCTGAGGGATAGTGATCGTACAGTGTTTGAGGTATACTGGTCATACAGTGTCTGTGATAGTGGTCGTACAGTGTCTGAGGGATAGTGGTCATACAGTGTCTGTGGGATAGTGGTCGTACAGTGTCTGAGGGATAGTGGTCATGCAGTGCCTGTGGAATAGTGATCGTAGTGTCTGTGGGATAGTGGTCATACAGTGTCTGAGGGATAGTGGTCATACAGTGTCTGAGGGATAGTGGTCATGCAGTGCTTGTGGAATAGTGATCGTAGTGTCTGTGGGATAGTGGTCGTACAGTGTCTGAGGGATAGTGGTCATGCAGTGCCTGTGGAATAGTGATCGTAGTGTCTGTGGGATAGTGGTCATACAGTGTCTGAGGGATAGTGGTCATACAGTGTCTGAGGGATAGTGATCGTACAGTGTCTGAGGGATAGTGATCGTACAGTCTGAGGCATAGTGGTTATACAGTGTCTGAGGCATAGTGGTCATACAGTGTCTGAGGGATAGTGATCGTACAGTGTCTGAGGGATAGTGGGCATACAGTGTCTGAGGGATAGTGATCATACAGTGTCTGAGGGATAGTGATCGTACAGTGTCTGAGGGATAGTGGGCATACAGTGTCTGAGGGATAGTGATCGTACAGTGTCTGAGGGATACTCAAGCAAATTAAAGAACTATAAAATACAGCTTACCTGTGCAGCTTCGCCAGCAATAAAACAATAAATATTATCGTTGATAATGGGTTCAGAAATAGAGCCTCATTTAAAAGCTGGATCAGCTAAGACTCGTACAAATATTTTCGTACAAGTATCCGAGGTGTCGACTAGATCAATACCCGGACCAGTGTCTTGTGGGGGAAGGGAAGGGTAGGCGTGACATGACGTAGTGTGGCATGATGTAGTGTGGTATGATGTAGTGTGGCATGATGTAGTGTGGCATGATGTAGTGAAACATGTAGTGTGGCATGATGTAGTGAAGCATGATGTAGTGTGGCATGATGTAGTGTAGCATGATGTGTGGCATGATGTGAGGCATGACGTAGTGTGATATGCTGCAGTGTGGCATGATGTAGTGAAGCATGATGTAGTGTGGCATGATGTAGTGTGGCATGATGTAGTGAAGCATGTATGGCATGATGTAGTGTGGCATGTAGTGAAGCATGATGTGAGGCATGACGTAGTGTGATATGCTGCAGTGTGGCATGATGTAGTGAAGCATGATGTAGTGTGGCATGATGTAGTGTGGCATGATGTAGTGTAGCATGATGTAGTGAAGCATGATGTAGTGTGGCATGGTGTAGTGTGGCATGATGTAGTGTAGCATGATGTAGTGTAGCATGATGTAGTGTGGCATGATGTAGTGTGGCATGATGTAGTGTAGCATGATGTAGTGTAGCATGATGTAGTGTGGCATGGTGTAGTGAAGCATGATTAGTGTGATTGATGTCAGTGATGCATGACGCAGTGTGGCATGATGTAGCGAGGCATGACGCAGTGTGGCATAATGTAGTGTGGCATGACGTAGTGAATCATGTAGTGTGGCATGATGTGAGAAGCCCTAATGCGAGCGATTCTGAATCTTCAACGCTTGTATACGGTCACTAGGGCAAGATTTATGCCACTTTTGGCGTGTGCAAGTACTCTATGATCAGAGTTATATGACCTGCCACAAGCAAGATGGCTCCTGCCGTGCCAGCAATGATGGTAGCATAATTAGATTCATTGTGAATTGCTAAGTCTGCCAGTGGTCCTACAAAGAACGAGCACTAGGAGACAATCAGGTTTCAAAGGAAGAAGGCTAGGTTTAATTCCTTTAATCAAGGGAATTTGACCAGCATCAAGGCCTCCCTTAAAAAAGAGAATCCAGGAGAACATTAGTGTGGTCCAACCAGCTGACACTGTCACAAGTGACGGAGGTTCTCAGTGTGGTCCAGCCAGCTGACACTGTCACAAGTGACGGAGGTTCTCAGTGTGGTCCAGCCAGCTGACACTGTCACAAGTGACGGAGGTTCTCAGTGTGGTCCAGCCATCTGACACTGTCACAAGTGACGGAGGTTCTCAGTGTGGTCCAGCCAGCTGACATTGTCACAAGTGACGGAGGTTCTCAGTGTGGTCCAGCCAGCTGACACTGTCACAAGTGATGGAGGTTCTCAGTGTGGTCCAGCCAGCTGACATTGTCACAAGTGACGGAGGTTCTCAGTGTGGTCCAGCCAGCTAACACCGTCACAAGTGACGGAGGTTCTCAGACAGTGTGGTCCAGCCAGCTAACACCGTCACAAGTGACGGAGGTTCCCAGACAATGTGGTCCAGACAGTTGACAGACAAGAGACTGTGGGTTCTCATATGATGTTTGCATGTTGTGGTAACCATAGTGTTTATAGTGCGAGCTGGTGAGCCACCAGCACGCTGTTGAATGTTACTGTTACCTCCTGTTGTTGAAGATTGAGACACTTATGCAGCATATGGAAATCTTTATTCAGGAAACGTTTCGCCACACAGTGGCTTCATCAGTCCAATACAAAGAGGAAGGCGTAAGGAGAGGAGGAGAATGAGGTAATCAGTCCCTCAACCTGGAGTCGATGTGTTCAGTCCATCAATCTTGTAGAATGTACAGCATAGGGCCGTAGACGTGGCTTATATACTGTAGTGAGGTGACGTGAAGCAGATGGAGGCGGGGTCATAGTGGTACCATCCACTAGTCGAAGTAGGTCTTCGTCCAAAGGTTGAACAAGTGTTGAAGAATTCTTTGTAACAAGATCCCATGATGCTGCAGTGTCTGACAGTTGTGATGAATGGTTTGAAAAACTTGTCGGTTTTTCAAACTATTCATCACACCTCCTGTTGTGCTGAATACTCGTTGTTGTTGCTGTTATTCGAAACTATTACTTTTCTTGCTTCCTGGCAAAGCTTTAAAAGATACCTAATAACTATTTGCCAAAAATAAAAATAGCAGTAATAATAAAAACAAAGCCAGTATTACTGTAATAAAAATAGCAGTGGAAGGTGATAGCCAAATCGTACTTGGCAGCCAGTGATCACGAACACTTCCTCCAGCTTATCATCACTCATAAATATAAGCTGGACCTGAGTTATAGCTTCTTAAGTACATTGTAGCTTTAGCAAGTCAAGGAGATACTTAAGTCTCGCATCGGGTTATACGAGGAGCAGGAGGAGCAGGAGGAGGAGGAGGAGGAATGAGGATCGAGTAGGAAGAAAAGCAGTAGTAAGAGGAAAAGTTGGAGGAAAAGCAGCAGAAGTAGGTGGATAATGAGAAGGACCAGAAGTAGCAACTGTTTTCGTAGAAGAAACAAGATCAGGAGACCGGGGTTGGATTTGAGTGGGACTTGCACTTGAGTTAAGAACATAAGAACGAAGGAACACTGCAGAAGGCCTACTGGCCCATGCGAGGCAGGTCCAAGTCTCCTACCGGCTTAAGCCAATGCACCCAACCTAGTCAGGTCAGGTCACATTGACTTAAGGGAGGAACACGGCAATAGTTATCATTGTGTAACGCTGATAATGGGTTGAGTGAATATTTTTAGTGGGTTTGGGTTTGACAGGGACTTGTCGGTAGATCTGCTGCAGTGTTCCTCCTTTCTTAGGTTCTTATATAAGACTGTAGTATTTGAAAGAACAGGAGAACTCTAGGAAAACCAGCAAGTGGAAGGGCAGAAGACGAAGATAATTCACATCAAGTAACAGCAGAAAAGATATTTTTTATTATAAGGTAAAGGTGGTATCTTGGTCACTACATCCATCTTAAACGATAACATATCTTCAGTATCTCGAGTCAATGTTGGAGGCACCTCTCCACCCACCACTGTCTCCCACGCCACCGCCCTCGTTCCTCTTGGTCTCCTCGGACCGTCAGACTCCTATAACCCCCTTACTGGTGTTCCTAACCAAATCTGGTCTCCCCGGATCCTCTTGTTGGTCTCTAGGACCTCCTCCCTGGGGTCTCGAAACGTTCTTTGGCTTCCAAGAGCGTCCTTCTTGGAGTGCCACTAAGGTCTACTAGGATATCGAAGCTCCTGCTGGTGCCTTGTAGCTCATTCCTGGTGGGGTTCTCAGCCAGCACCTAGCCTCTGACAGGATGAGGGTTCTGCCTGTTGCAAGAAAAAAACCCATCAGTCATCCCAGCACCTAGTCACAGCCGAGCCACCCGTGCAGGTGCAGCCTCAGTATGGACCCATGTATACCAGGTAGGTCCCTTTACAGGGTAAGACTGGAGGTCCCTTTACAGGGTAAGACTGGAGGTCCCTTTACAGGGTAAGACTGGAGGTCCCTTTACAGGGTAAGACTAGAGGTCTCTTTACAGGGTGAGAGTGGAGGTCCCTTTAGAGCCATACCCCCGGCCGGGATTGAACCCGCGGTCATAGTCTCAAAACTAGCTAGCTGGAGATTCGTCCTGTAAGAAACTTGCATTTGGTGGGTCCAGAGTGCCAGTCCTAACTTCCTAATGTTGTGTTGCAGAAAAAACCTAGTTCCAGCAACTTAATGTCGGCTACGCGGTGGTCTATGGAAACCCGCAGAACGGTAGTTTTAGACTTAAGACGGGGGTTTCATTACGGGGGTATGGGTTTATTATGACTGGGTCCTTTACCGATTTTTGAAGTGATCCCTTTAGAGGATACAACAGGAGTGCCTGATGCCGGAGAAGGGCTCCTGAGCGGCCTTTCTTTAGGATTGAAACTGATTGCCTCCCATTCTCCTAAGCACTGTATGACCCGCGATAATTTCTGTGCTTGTTGAGAGAGTTTTGTTCACAGTTAACTAACCCACGAGTCGAAACGGACCAATGAATCGACAGGGAATTTTTATTTTGCTAAGGCAGTACTGCTTTGTTCACTACTGCTATTTGTGTTCTCTTCATTAGGAAATTGAATATCCATTTTCGTGTTATACTGACTGATTTTCTTTTACGGGCTAGCATCTCCCTGCTACCATCTGTTAAATGCCTCAGCGAAGTTCGTGTACATCAGGTCTGTATTTTGGTTTTCTTGCAAAAATTCCGCGAGTATGTAATAACATTCCTCTTGCCTCTCACACATTCCTCTTGCTTCTCCCACATTCCTCTTGCCTGTCCTGCATTCCTCTTGCCCCACCCCACTTATCCCACCCGAACTTGCCCCACCCACTCATCAATCTCACACTGCACCTGCCTTCTTCCACACTTCTCTTGGCCATCTTCCATTTGCCTGCCTTGCCACTCTCCCTGTGGCTGCCTGTGTGCCAGACTCCGACACCTGGCACCTGTCCGCAAGTTGGCACTGGTACTACTGTGGCAACTGCTATTAGCGAGGGAGGAAGTACTGTTACTGGCGAACGTTCTCTCTCTCTCTCTCTCTCTCTCTCTCTCTCTCTCTCTCTCTCTCTCTCTCTCTCTCTCTCTCTCTCTCTCTCTCTCAGAAATACAAGTACAGCTAAGTGTATAGTGAGTGTTAGTAGATGTTATGAATTTATTTTGCTACCTTCTTACGTTGTCACGAGACAGAGCACCAACTCGGCCAGAGTGCAAAACTTTTGACAGACTTGCATTTCATACTCGTATGACAAGAGGGGTTGTAACTCCCTGGATGATGGCTACTGTCTCCCAACCTACTACCTAGTGTGTGTGTTCCACACTCGTATGACAAGAGGGGTTGTACCTCCCTGGATGATGGCTACCGTCTCCAACCTACTACCTAGTGTGTGTTCCACACTCGTATGACAAGAGGGGTTGTACCTCCCTGGATGATGGCTACTGTCTCCTAACCTACTACCTAGTGTGTGTGTTCCACACTCGTATGACAAGAGGGGTTGTACCTCCCTGGATGATGGCTACCGTCTCCCAACCTACTACCTAGTGTGTGTTCCACACTCGTATGACAAGAGGGGTTGTACCTCCCTGGATGATGGCTACTGTCTCCCAACCTACTACCTAGTGTGTGTTCCACACTCGTATGACAAGAGGGGTTGTACCTCCCTGGATGATGGCTACCGTCTCCCACATACTACTAGTTGCTGTTCCACCTCGTATGACAAGAGGGTTGTACCTCCCTGGATGATGGCTACTGTCTCCCAACCTACTACCTAGTGTGTGTTCCACACTCGTATGACAAGAGGGGTTGTACCTCCCTGGATGATGGCTACCGTCTCCCAACCTACTACCTAGTGTGTGTTCCACACTCGTATGACAAGAGGGGTTGTACCTCCCTGGATGATGGCTACTGTCTCCCAACCTACTACCTAGTGTGTGTTCCACACTCGTATGACAAGAGGGGTTGTTACCTCCCTGGATGATGGCTACTGTCTCCCAACCTACTACCTAGTGTGTGTTCCACACTCGTATGACAAGAGGGGTTGTACCTCCCTCGATAATAGCTGTCTCCCAGTCATTATTATAATTCAGTCCCTCATCGCGTGGATTTATTTGGTAGAATTAAGTGGACACAATATCAAGATTATATCTCTGGCAGGTTCCTGCCTCTGAATAATTTAGTCAGAGTGTTTGGCAGGTAAAACCTTCACACATTGTTGAAATTGTGAAGCCCTGGAGGGAGGAGTTTGTGTTAGCCACCGTGCTCTCCCACTAAAACAATACCCACACTCCACCACTAAGATACATAACACCACTAAGATACATAACCTCTATTTATCACTGCCCGGGTCACCTTGGTCACTGCCCAGGTCACCTTGGTCACTCCCTCGCTCTGGTCATCTTGCCAAAGTTCTAACAATCTTTTTGTACTCCGAAAGATTGTTTTTCTTGAGGTCATAGACTACGTTTCAGCATTGTTACTGGCCACTGTTGCTGGCCACTGTTGCTGGCCACTGTTGCTGGCCACTGTTGCTGGCCACTGTTGCTGGTTTACTGTTGCTGGCCACGTAGTTACTGTGTTGGCCACTGTTGCTGGCCACTGTTGCTGGCCACTGTTGCTGGCCACTGTTGCTGGCCACTGTTGCTGGCCACTGTTGCTGGCCACTGTTGCTGGCACTGTACTGGCACTGTTGCTGGCCACTGTTGTGCACTGCTGCCACTGTTGCTGGCACTGTTGCTGGCCTGTTGACTTTGGCCACTGTTGTGGTACTGTGTACTGTTGCTGGCCACTGTTTGGCCACTGTTGCTGGTTACTGTTGCTGGCCACTGTTGCTGGCCACTGTTGCTGGCCACTGTTGCTGGTTACTGTTGCTGGCCACTGTTGCTGGCCACTGTTGCTGGCCACTGTTGCTGGTTACTGTTGCTGGCCACTTTGTTTGCTGGCCACTGTTGCTGGCCACTGTTTTCTGGCCACTGTTGCTGGCCACTGTTGCTGGCCACTGTTGCTGCACTGTTCTGGCACTGTTGCTGGCCACTGTTGCTGGTTACTGTTGCTGGCCACTGTTTGTTGCTGGCCACTGTTGCTGGCCACTGTTGCTGGCCACTGTTGCTGGCCACTGTTGCTGGCCACTGTTGTGGCACTGTTTCTGGCCCTGTTGCTGGCCACTGTTGCTGGCCACTGTTGCTGGCCACTGTTGCTGGCCACTGTTGCTGGCCACTGTTGCTGGCCACTGTTGCTGGCCACTGTTGCTGGCCACTGTTGCTGGCCACTGTTGCTGGCCACTGTTGCTGGCCACTGTTGCTGGTCACTGTTGTGGCCACTGTTGCTGGCCACTGTTGCTGGCCACTGTTGCTGCCACTGTTGCTGGCCACTGTTGCTGGCCACTGTTGCTGGCCACTGTTGCTGGCCACTGTTTGCTGGTGCCACTGTTCTGACTGGCACTGTTGCTGGCCACTGTTGCTGGCCACTGTTGCTAGCCACTGTTGCTGGCCACTGTTGCTGGTCACTGTTGCTGGCCACTGTTGCTGGCCACTGTTGCTAGCCACTGTTGCTGGCCACTGTTGCTGGTTACTGTTGCTGGTTACTGTTGCTGGCCACTGTTGCTGGCCACTGTTGCTAGCCACTGTTGCTGGTCACTGTTGCTGGTCACTGTTGCTGGCCACTGTTGCTGGCCACTGTTGCTAGCCACTGTTGCTGGCCACTGTTGCTGGTTACTGTTGCTGGCCACTGTTGCTAGCCACTGTTACTGGCCACTGTTGCTGGCCACTGTTGCTGGCCACTGTTGCTGGCCGTGTTGCTGGCCGCTGTTGCTGGGCACTGTTGCTGGCCACTGTTGCTGGCCACTGTTGCTGGCCGCTGTTGCTGGCCACTGTTGCTGGCCACTGTTGCTGGCCACAGTTGCTGGCCACTGTTGCTGACCCCTGTTGCTGGCTGCTGGGGCAACATGGCCGCACCAGGATATATACTAACAACAGTTAATCAGTCTTATAGCTGTAATTTAACCATGATTTTTAAAGGGGTGAAGAGGTAAGCCAGCAGAAGGCCTCGGTCAGATGACCAAAAGCTTCAGTAGCGGGTCATCCAATAACTAAGACCCGCGTCAAGAAACAGTTGTCGGAGGGAGAGATATATCATAATCTACACTTGGAAAATCTTGGAAGGAATGGTCCCAAATCTGCACACAGAAATCACCCCCTACGAAAGTAAAAGACTGGGCAGGCGATGCAAAATGCCCCCAATAAAAAGTAGGGGCGCCATTAGGGGAATTGCCAATAAACCCCTGGCTGCCTTCAAGAGAGAGCTGGACAGATACCTAAAGTTAGTGCCGGATCAGCCGGGCTGTGGCTCGTACGTTGGATTGCGTGCGGCCAGCAGTAACAGCCTAGTTGATCAGGTCCTGGTCCACCGGGAGGCCTGGTCATGGACAGGGCTGCGGGGGCGTTGATCCCCGGAATAACCTCCAGGTAACCTCCAGGTACACAACAGACACCAGAAACAGAGAATAAGAGAAGACGTGAGTAAAGTGTGCAAATGAAAGAGAAGGATGGATCTAGATTTATATTCAAGAAGGTACCTGGAGTATACCTGGAGAGGATTTCGGGGGTCAACGCCCCTAGTGGCCCGGTCTATGACCAGGCTTCAAGTGGATCCGGGCCTGATCAACCAGGCTATTACTGTTGGCCGCACGCAAACCGACGTACGAACCACAGCCCGGCTGGTCAGGTACTGATTTTAGGTGCCTGTCCAGTGCCTGCTTGAAGACACCCAGGGGTCTATTGGTAAAGCTTGGACTCATATAACTGGGTTGTACAATCAAGGGAGTAATAATAATAATAATAATAATAATAATAATACAGTGCTCTTTAGCCTGGCGTACCGTAGCCTGGCGTACCCACGGCACG